AATCTACTAACAGACCCATATACATTAAGCCCTGATATATTCAAACACTAGCACTGCAGAATTGGTAGGAAAGGTTTGTTTAGTAAATGGTACTAGACCAAAACTGGATATCCATATGGACTTCTACCTCCTACATACAAAAATCCATACCTGTAGATTATAGCTCTAAATGTAAAAGATAAAACAATTTCTATAAGATAGCATAGAAGGGTATCTTCATAATCTTTGGTACCCAGAGTTTTATTAAACAGGACACTTTTCTTAAAAATACTAACCATGAAAAAAGTAATTGATAAACTGGCCCACATTAAATCTAGGACTATCTCTTCATCATAAGATATCATTAAGGGAGTAAAAAGGCAAAATGAGAGAATATACTTGCAATACAAATAATTTTCTAATGACTCATCCTATGAAAAACTACAAATAAAAAAAGACAAAAGGAAGAACAAGTATCTCACAAGAGATATCTAAATGACTAATAAACATGAAAAAAATGCCCAGCTTCATTAGTCATAAGGGAAATACAAATTAAAACCACAATGAGATATCCATATGAGGGTAAGGATGTGAAGCAATTGGAACTCTCAGACACAACAGGTGGGAGAGTAAAATGGTTAAGTCACTTTGGAAAACTGTTTGGCACTCTAATCACTAAAGCTAAACATATGCATATCTTACTATCCAGCAATTTCATTCCTAGGGTATACTCCGGTGAAATATGTACGTTTGCAGGATACATGTTCAAGAACATTCATAACAGCAGTGTTATTAATTACCCCAAACAGACAGCAACTCAAATGTCCATAAACAATAGGTCAATAAATTGTATATTTATACAATGAAATACTATATAGCAATGAAAATGATCAAACTACAACTATACCTCTTGTGTAAAATCCCACAAATATATGTTCGTTGAAAAACACAACACATCCTACATAATTCTACTAATTATATAAAGTTCAAAAACAAAATTATATTGCTTAGAGATGCACACATAGATGGTAACACTATAAAGGAAAGCATGGATATGATTATCATAAAACTCAGTCTAAGGATTACATCTAAGGTGAGGCTTATTGAATTGGGAAGTGACATGCAGGAGACTTCTAGGGGGCTAGTGATGCTAATTTCTGGACTTAAATGCTAGTTAAATGGATGTGTTCATAATTATTTGTTAAATCATATATTTTCCTATTATGTTAAATTTCAAAATTAGAATTTCAAAATAGAAACCAAAGTACATGGATTGTACCTGATTTATTCCTACAAGTTAGTGAATTTATTAGTAATTACTTAGAGTAATATAATAGATGCTCAATTAGTGGCTATCTTAAAATGAAGATTTAATTGTCTAAAACCAATTGAAAGTGTTTCATTATCTCAAATTACTCAGCACTCAGTATTTTCTATTGTACAGGGGATTTCTGTATTGAGGTGGAGTTTATAGTACAGGCATTATTCTAGATTATGTGGTTCTGTGAATTAGCTGTCCTGGGAAGTGATGAGCTACCTTCTCCTGAAATAGTTAAGCAAATTCAGAAAGTTTTGTGATGATTTATTATAAAAAAAAAAGATTCCAAAAGTAGGCAGTTGTATTAAAGTACCCTTAAAATACCTTCTAACATTAATCAACAATTTAAAATTTTGGGTCGTGTATCCCCTCTGAGAATCCTATCTCTTTCTCTGGCTCATTGGCTAACATTTATATGGAGGTTATGTCTATAAGCAGTTGAGCATTAGGCATGGGATAAAGTTAGGATAATCTACACAACAGATAAAAAAAACTAGATCTTGCTGCCCAATTCTTTAAACTTTATCTTCTTGGAAAGATTGTCGTCTCTACTTGGGATACTGTGTAAAACCCTTTGGCAGCTTCCTTGAATTCTCTAAAGCCTTTTTTTTTATCATAAAATAATGATAAATATATGGCTGACAATCATAGGGTTAAAAATGATGTATGAGAGGCATGTTTTCACTTTAAAAGGGAAAAATAATAAACTAAAGTAAATCAAGTCTATTTAAAAAAGTACATGATAAAAGGTACAGTTAAAGGAAGAGGTGGAAAAAAAGCTTTGGCTCTTAATAAGCCACTATCTCAACCTATTAGAAGAAATAAAAGAACTGCAAAATCCAAAAGCCATCGTGTCCTCCCTTCAGTAGCAACTGGCTAATGACCTGCCTCAGGTTAGAATAACTTAGAAACATATAATTCTGGTTAAGAAAAGGAAAACGGTTAATAAGCATAAGTCTGTGGAAATAGCCTACATTTTCACATTTTATGAAGATGATTCAGAGACTCACCTTTAACAAGGGATAATTAATACTTGCAACCCATATGTTGGTAAATGGAGCCTCCAGGATAATAGCATCAACTGGGAATCCTTGAAAACAATAAAAAAGAAATAACTCTGCTATCATATTTAAATACTACCTTTCCTAAATAAGGAGTCCTCAAGGTCCTGTACATGAACTACCTGAACCAAAGTTATTTGCGAAGCTTGTTAATAATGCAAATTCCTGGACTCTGCACTAGACTTGAATCAGAGTCTCGGGGTGGGGGGGAGTGCATTTTTAATGGGCATCCCCACCCCAAGAGATTTCTATGCACATGATTGTTGAAAATCACTACCTTCTAGGACACAGCCAGGTTTTCATGACTTGGATAATTTAAGAAGGCAAAGTACTATAGGAAGGGACAGTGTTCTGCAGCCCATGGTTAGGAATGGACCAGAAGCTGACTAGGTTGTTTTGGCCAACACTTCCTCTAAGAACAATTAGAAAATGCGTGTCAGATGGGGATATGTATTTGTATATGTACACAGTAGTCCCCCTTTATCTGCAGTTTCAGTTATGTGCAGTCAAGAGCAGTCCAGAAGCACATAATCCTGCTTCTGTCATATTGTCAGGTCAGTAGTAGCCTAACACTACATCTCAATGCCCACATCATTCACCTCACTTCCTCATCATGGAGACATTTTATCATCACACATCATCACAAGAAGAACGGTGAGTACAGTACAATATGATGTTTTAAGAGACACCCCCGTCACATAACTTTTATTATGTTGTTATAATTGTCCTATTTTAGTATGTTATTATTAATCTCTTACTGTGCCTAATTGATAAATTAGACTTTATCATAGGTATATACACATAGGAAAAACACAGTATATATAGGGCTTGGTATTATCCGTGGTTTCAGGCATCCACTATAGGTCTTGGAACATATCCCTCATGGATAAGGGAGGACTACTGTATGTATATGTATATGTTTGAAGGCATCTGAGGGCTACTAAATCCGCGAGATTTTGAGAGCCAATACCAAAAGAAAAAAATCCACAAGAGTTTGAGATGCTTTTCCCCTCAAAACAGCTGAAAACCTGAAAGCAACAGTGGTGGCTGCTCTTAGAGGCTTAGAACTAGACAGAACTTTCAGCAGTCCCACAGGACCAAAAGGGCAAAAATTAGAGGTCAGAATCTGACAAGAAGGAGAACTCTAATAAATTTCTCAGGCTTTTTGTGACTTCAAAAGACTACACCCTGGGAGTAATGGTGAACTAAAACCGGACCAGCCCTCATAAATACTAAAGCCCAGCTTCAAATCAGCTCAATTTCTGATTGGATTAAGGTGATCTCCCCCCTATTTTAACTTCTTTTCAGGAGAAAAGTAACTTTTGTCTGGAAGAAGATAATATTATCCCTAACCCTCAAATTATCTCTACAATTTCCATAAACAATATCTAGCATTTAATCAAAAATAACTAGACATACAAAACTAAACTAAAATAGGCCAAAAATACAAAAAACAAACAAAAAATCAAATAATGGAAATAGATCAACAAGGATCTAGATATTGGCATTATTCTATATGGACTTTAAAATAATGTGTAAATAACCAATTGTACTATAGTAAAATACTTGTTAAAATTTTAATATTTAATAAAATTTGATATTACGTAGTGAACTGTGTAATATGTCAAAAGAAAATATTTAAACTAAAGCACAAGGAGAAAAATGTCTGGAAAACCCAGGAAAGAACATTGGAGACATACAGGACATGGGAAAAGACCTAAAAAAAATACATATAATTATAGTCCCAGGGGGAGAGAAGATGAAAAATGGGGTAGGCACAATATTTGAAGATAAATGACCAATTTTCCAAGATGGATGAATATCAAGCTAGAGTTATTATGGTACTATGAACCCCAAGCAGGATAACTACTAAGAAACCCACACCTAGGAAAATCACAGTAAAAATGCTGACAAACAAAGACAAAAAGAAAATCTCAAAAACAGCCAGAAGAAAAAGTAATTATTTTCAAAGGAGCAGCAGGAAGACTGGAAGCTGACTTCCCAATGGAACAGTGAAAGCCAGAACAAAATGAACGTCTTCAAAGTGTTGAAATAAAATAACTGCCAACCAAGAATTCTATGCCCAATGAAAATATCCTTCAAAAACAAAGATAAAGGTATTTTCAGGCCAAAACTGAGGGAATTCTTCACCACAGACAGGCAGAACAAATATCCCAAATGGAAGCACAGAAATGCAAGAAGTAATAAAAGGCAAAGAAAAGGGTAAATCTAGATATTGACTATATAATATAAGAGCAATAATGTTTTATGGAGTATATAATATAGAGAAAATTAAAATACATAATAGCAAGAGTTCAAAGTCAGAGATGTAAATGGAATTTAAGTGTCCTAAGGTCACTGCATTATCCAAGAAGTGAAGTATTCATTTATGTGGGAATTTAGGTTAAATAATACAGCACCGTCAACACTATGCAGGAAGTGTGCCCAGGGAGCTATGAGAGCTAGAGGAGCAGGAAATAATGTCAGCTTTATTTCCATAATTAATTAAGACTGTGGATAGCATGTGACTTGCTTTAACATGTTCACATAACTCACCCTGACCAGTATCGACAAGCTTAAGATACAACTCAAGAGATGACAAGCTTTTCATGTACATCACTATCACCTTGTCCTATTCACAGAGATGCTAATTCATCAAAACAGCTAGGATCCAGGAAACCTGTGTTTATAACAAGTGCCAGGGAACCTGAGACAGGTAATGCTCAGAACACTTTGGGAAACACGGACATAAATGTCATGGAAGACGGGCAGCTGAAAGCAAGGTCCTGCTTGTTACTTCATAAAGGATGTTTTCCTCTGCCATAATCCAAATTACTCCACGGGAACATTTACTTCAGGAGAAGGGCTTTTTCAAGGGGAATTTTAACTCTTGCTGAGTATTTATTTTTAATTTCATGGCCTTGAAAGGCAACTGTTGTTTTATATTAAATAGAAAAAAGAAAGTTTATTACACGATCAGAGGCTGTCTGAGGTCGGGGGGGCTTAGGTATCTCTGTGTTCAGAGTGTGCACAACGTTCCGCAGGCTCTCTTTCCTTCACCACTGCGAGCCAAGACATGCCACATGGAGGCATTTTACATTACCTTTCTCTTCTAGTGCTTTTGCAGCATTTGTTGCAACTCTGTAAAGCAATGAAAATTAGTACATATGTAAAGCAGGGACTTAACAGGTAAACAGTACAAAATGCAACATCTGATATGAGCACCTGATGAAAGCGCTGGGGCCCTCTGGTAGGACCAGATGTACAACTTTGCATAGGACTTCAAGGGGTTCCACGGGCCAAAATCCCTTTAATACTCTCAAGGAGTATTGGAATGGGCTTCAGTGTCCTAGATAACCACAGAGCTACACCCTCACCCTCCCTTGCATTACAACAGGCTCGCCGAGATGGCACTGGCTCTAACCACGTATGGGATGTGAGGGAAACCAGAGCTCCGCCTCCTAGCTCAGTGTTCCCTCCTCTGCTCATGGCTGCCTCTGATGACACTAAAGCCCCAAGGACTCCCCACCCCCAAGAAGCCATCTTCAGACCCCACTTACCCTGTACCCAGAGAGTGGCCCCAGAGACACACAGGCGTGGTACCACTTCTCGCCTTGGTCCACTCATAGACACAAACAGCATCTGCGGTCAGCCCCTCCTCTGTGGGCTCACCTGTAGAGTCCCCGTACCCTGGTGGTAAGGAAAGGTGGGCACAGTATCACTACCTCCAAAATGAGGGCCATCAAAAGCCCTCCTGCTTCCTGAAAAGTCTTTATATACTGCTCTTAACATACCTCTGTAGTCCACAGACAGGACATGAAAGCCACCATCGCTCAGCATCTAGATGACAAAGGAGAGGTTATCTTAATTAGAAGGTGTAAACCGAAACGGTGGTGTAACCGCCTCAACACTTGCATAATTTTCATTGTGATGGCTTCCTCGGCAGGGAATAGATGAAATCTGCTGTTTGACCTCAAACATGAGAAGGTCAGGCTCAAGGGGAAAGAAGGGAGGCAGGCGGCAGAGCAGGTCAGAGAGCCTGGCCACACCCTTGCTCTGCCCCTGGCTGTGTGGCCTTGAGCCACCCAACGTCTGACTACGTAAACAGGATTCTGAAAAGTGAAAAACAACAGTAGCACCTTCAGGACTGTTGGAAGATGACATGAGATGAAAGTACTGAAGTACCTCGGTGCAAAGTAAATGTCCGTTTTAAGAATTCCCTTGAGAACAGAAGGTCTACACAGAGTTGTAGTAGAGGCAGTCAAATAATGGGAAGATATTTATATTAAATGTGAACAGATAAAGAGTTAATATCAATCAAAAAGAGATCACTCGATTATATGAAACCACTGCCATGCCCCATGTGGATAAATAAGGAAGGAATATGACAGCATCATTTCAAACGGAATGAATTACAATGACAGACGAAGAGAGAAAATGGGGACAAAAATGTACTGCGCAGATACCTTTAAAACTTTATTTAATCCTCACAATAGTCCCTAAAGGTAGGTATTATCCCCGTCTTATAGATAAAGAAATTGAGTCCTGAGGGTTTAAGTAACTCGTTCTTGGTCACCCAGACAGCTAGAGGGAGAACCAAGACTCACCCCTCCGGGGCGCCTGGGTGGCTCAGTCGTTAAGCGGCTGCCTTCGGCTCAGGTCATGATCCCAGAGTCCTGGGATCAAGTCCCACATCAGACTCCCTGCTCAGCGGGAAGCCTGCTCTCCCTCTCCCACTCCCCCTGCTTGTGTTCCTGCTCTCGCTATCTGTCTCTGTCAAATAAATAAATAAAATCTTTAAAAAAAAAAATTAAAAAAAAATAAATAAAATAAATAAATAAATAAAAAAGACTCACCCCTCGGTCTGCTGTCCAAACACTGTGCTCCCCCTGCCACAGCACAGACGTGGGGAGCTGAGTCTCACCAGAAATCTTTCAATACAAATTCAACTAATACTGAGGAACTAAAGGAAACTTTTTAATATCTATTTAAACGGCACTGCCTCCAAAACAGAGATCCAGGACACAGAGCAGTTAAGCGCCCCGGGAGGTGGGAACGTCTGTGCGTCGTTGTGGTGCTGTGGACGGAAGGACCACTTGGTGAAACAACTTGAGAACAGATCTGACTCCTAAGTTAGAATTTATCTCTAAGGAAAAAGTCCAAAAAAAGAATAAACTCGATGCTTCAGGTTTTCTCTAGCAACATTATTGAGATGATTTTGGCGGGGGGGGGGGGGACTTGTATCTAGTAACAGTGGAATAGTTAAATAAACAATTGTCTACAAATATAATGGAGAAGGATCACCTTTTAAATCTGTTACTGTGGTAACTACGGAAAACCATGGAAGAATGTTTACAGCATAGTAAGTACATAATATAGCATTAAGTAAAAGAGCAACAACATAAAATTACATATAGATATAATCACATAAAAGCTTTACATAAAGACGACGAGGTGGGATTACAAAATGAAAACAGCCGTATTGGATGACTGAAGTGATGAATAAATGGAATGAACGAGAAACAGAGAGGATGTGGAGGAAGAAAGGAAAGATGAAGGGGGGAAGGACAACATAATAGCAAAGACTTGGTTTTTCAGGGAAATCACCCTTCCAAAGAAGAGAACAAAGGCCTGAGGAAGTCTGGTCAGGCTGGGAGATGATGACTATGGCACGGGGTATCCAGAATCCGCCTGGAGGAAGAAGTCTTATCATACCTTCCCTTACCATGCCAACTACCACAGGGATGACCTGGCTCCTTTTCACACCTACACCTATGATTCTTTTCCTTTCTGTGCACACAGGGGCTATAATTCAGCTTTGCCGAGGGTGGGAGAGGAAAAAAAGAATAAAAAAAAACAACACATGGTCTCATGGACGTCAGCCTCACCACCATCCCACGTAGGAAGTGCAGACAGTGAGGTGCAGGGTAGAAAGCAAACCTAAAAATTAATAGACATTATCATCCCAGGCAGAACAGCATCTAGCCCACCACCCACCAGAGTTGGCTCCGAGAAGACCGTGAGGAAAGGGAGGAGCAGACTGGAGAGGGGCTTCCTGTCTGAACAAGGGAGGGAGGACGAAGGAGGGGCTGGCCCTCCTGGGCCTGGCAGGACGCGGGTCCCCACTCAGGCTGTTACACCAGGGAAGGGCTCTGAGGTGGGAGCTGGTCTGTGGGAGGCGACAGCAGGTCCTCGGTCAAAAATTGGACAAGAAGCCTGGTCACCTGAGGGAGAGATTACCCAACTGGGGTGTGGGAGAAGATAAACAGACAGCCCTACCAACTGTGAGTCAGCCACGGCTGCATCTCCCTGCCCACGCGGGGGCCGCCCCAACAAACTGCAGTCGTGTAGCAGGCTAGCAAGAAGAGTGTGGCTGCCATCCCACGCGCAAAACCTTCCATGGGGCTGAAGCCAGAGCCTGAAGGACTCTAACAGCAGACGTTCTATGTATTTATCCTCTACCACAAAAAAAAGAGGCTGTTTCTCACGGGAGTAACTTTCACATTTAATATACCCTCACAACCCTTCCCCCCCAGCCCTCAGGAAAAGCAGATAAAGAGGGTCTTGAACTCCACCTGGTGATGAAGGCAATGTATTTATGAAAGTGTTTTGGGAGTCAGAGATGTTCGCTTCTGTTTTAAAGCCCTGTGGTCACTGCAGGAAGAGAAATCCACGTGTGGGACTTTGAGTCCCAGACTCCAAACCCACCCTTGGGAGCTCTCAGTAGATACCCTTGCTGAGGGCTGAGGAAGATCTAGGGCTGTAGCCCAGAAGAGAAAAAACAGAGACATAAAACTGGTACCTTGAGGCCCCTTCAGACATACCTTTACTAGCTCAAGTCTGTGAGGAGCTGCCCTGTGGAAGAGGTTAAAACAAAGAGCAAGAATTAGGAATTACAATGACAAATTCAATAAAAATCACTATCATGCTTCTAGCATCTGATCTCATGCCTTTGTTTTTCAGGTTAGAGAAATAAATAACTGGGAGAAAGGGAAATGGTTTTTGGTGTCATAGCCCACTTGGCTGTGTCAGGGGGAGTAGTGGATGGCTCCCCACTGCTGTTGCACTCCTCTGCATGAGCACTGGATGCCCAGATGGTTAGTGCTTCTCAACAGAGGCATGTGATGAATTACTGATAATCCACCTCCTCTCACTGCTACACAGCAAAACTAATTTCTGAGAATACTTTTAGAAGCTAAAGGAAAATCAGCTCCAGAAAGTGGTTTTTCAGAACAAAGGATGATGCAGTCATGTTCACTAAACCAAGACCTGCCTGTACCCTGTTCACTGCCATTAAATACAAGATGAAGTGAGGGAGACTCACAGCGCTGGAGGTACAAGAAAGGCTTTTTCCCAAAATAACCATATCATCTACTCTCTATTAACCACGCTAATAAAGGAGAGACAAGGATGATTGAAAAGGCAGAGGATTCTTTTGAAAACCATTTGAATTTTGTCTTAGAGCCAAGTGTCTTAAACTTTAGTGGGTCATGAAGCCCTTCGAACGTATGATTAAAGCTATGGACCCACTTCCCAGAAAAATGTATCCACACGTGACATTTTTAGTACAATTTTGGGAGGAGGTTCATGGACCCTCTGGGGTTTCTCTGGGTGCCAAGTCTGGAAGCACTGTTCTCAGCAAGGCTCCTATAACCTCCCACTTGGCCTCCTTTCGGCTCAGTACTGCTGCTAGCCAGCTGAGAGTTTTGCAGTGGACAGGAGGAAGCTGTGGCTGACCGCACAGCCAGTCAATCTGGGACCACAGCAGATCCGCACAGGGGGACAGACACGAATGGGTGGGCCGGATAATCCTTTAAATACATACACTGTAACACCATGCCCAAGTTTGCACAATCAGAACAATGTTCAACAATGTTGAAAAAGGTTGAATTTGGGGGCGCCTGGGTGGCTCCGTTGGTTAGGCGACTGCCTTCAGCTCAGGTCATGATCCTGGAGTCCCGGGATCGAGTCCTGCATCGGGCTCCCTGCTCCTCGGGGAGTCTGCTTCTCCCTCGGACCTTCCCCTCTCTCATGCTCTCTCTCTCAAATAAATAAATAAAAATCTTTAAAAAAATAATTAAAAAAGAAAAGAAAGAAAAAGGTTGAATTTCATGGGAAATCTTCATCATTCACTCTAAAATGGACACCTTCAGAAAGGCCCTAGTGCAAAGGCAAGCCTTGAGAAAGCCATCAACACAGAAAAAGACAATGAGAAAAAGAGACATAGGCAAGGGAGCCAAGGGGCAGATTCCAGAGCTCATCACTTAGTTTGCAACATCCCTCCAGACACAGAGCTGGGTCTGTGGGTCCCTGAGGCACATCACCCCTCCCCCAGCCCGAAGCGCTGCAGTCTCAGCTGATGATCATCACCCACCATAATGACAGGCCCACTGGGAAGCCCTGGCAGCACATCAAAGGGGCTCAGGACTTCAGGGAGGCATTCTTGATGGCAAAGCAAGGTTGGAACAACAGAGAGTGGACTGAGGCATCAGGCTTCTAGACCAGAATCACTCAGATGGTCCCCAGTACGGACGGTCGGAATTCCAGATGATCTCTCATAGGGAGTCCATACATTTGATTAATAGGATTCATGCTAAATCAAGGAATCCCCACGTACTTCTGTGAGAGGACCACGGATAAGGAAATTGCTCTTCCTTCTCCCCATATCTCAGGCCTGTCCCCTTTCCCGTCATCCATGGGCTCAGTTCAGCATTTCAGGCACTCTTTGGGAGTAAAGGAACCACTGCCTTCTTGGAAATCAACAACCAAATTTTGGAAGTTAGTCTCCCTTTCAGTGAAAGATCGACATGAGTCTACATACAGAATATATAGATTTTTTTTTAAGAGAAGCCTGTTGCCAGAACACCCTCAAATTTCAACAAAGGAAAAAAATATATATGTGGAGGCACACTTACAGAGTCGAAAACTCTGGAAAGCTCTGCCTTTCCTTCCCCTGCCCCCCACCCCAGGCTGAAAGGCTCCCTCTCTTTTTAAACAACAACAACAAAAAATCCAAGCGAAGGCACTGACCTGTGTTCTGCGCTGCCGTGAAGATAAACAATAATTGGGTTGCCGTCATGAAGGGCTGCTTCATACCAGCCACGGTCCTTCTCCTTAGCATCTTCCCCCCGGCAGCTGGGAACCGTGTGCCTGAAGGGCAAGGAAACGTTTTAACAAACATACAGAGAGAATTCACTTTCCTTGCCAAAGTCTGAAACCCTCCTCAGGTCAAAGACATATATTTATATAATGTATAAATATCCATTACATATTTATATATGTGTGTGTGTGTATATCTATCTATCTGTCTAAATTTCTATCTGAGTAATATATGCACATGGTAAAAATTAAAATATAATACCACAAACATCTTACAGTGACAAGCACTACTTCTCTACTCCCCTCCCCCATGCACAGAAACGACCCCTTTTAACCACTGACTGTTCTAGTCCTTCTGACTCCTATATCCACTAATCTTCCAGGACTGCAATTCTTAGGTGCAGTCCATTGAAATGCAGTCCATTGGATGGAAACAAGTAAAAGGCAATAGGTATTTGCCACCTGCTATTGGTTTAGCTGAAGAAACAAACTGAAAGAATTTAAAGAGAGAGCAGTTTAGATGGGAGAAAAGAACTTAAATATGAAACTAAGCTATTCTACTCAAGAAACCAGTGACCTTGTGGAGTTAAACACCTGCCCGAGCTCCAGTCCCTCCACCTGTTAAACCAGTGAGTGAGCCCCGAAGATACAAACACTTCCATATGACATGTCACAAGGAGACCTGGAGAACTGGCCACGATATAATAAATCTTCAGGCTTCTCAACCCTTTAGGGGCAGAAAGTCTGACATCAAACCCCAGGGCCTCTGGACTGAGAGGACTGGCACCCCTGCCAGCTACATAAGCCAGGGCAAGAGCAACGGACAAAAAGATTTTCAAATTCCAACACCGTTAGCTGAATTGTACTGTGCAGATTAGGAAGAAGTTATGTGAATTCATATTGGTTCCTAAACATTCTATGATCACATGTTTAAAGTCAGGGAGGAAATATAAAACAGGACACTGGGAAATTGGCAGCCAAGAACAAGAAGTAGAACCAAACAGAAAAAAATGTTGACGGTAGCATAGCAAAAAAGACAATAGCTCACAATTTTGACAATTGAGTGTCTTTTCTGTGCTGTGCCAAGCACTGTGCTAAGCAGTGAAAACCCACTAACGAAAGAAAGAAAGAAGAAAAAAAGAAAGAAGGAAGGAAGTGAAAGAAAGAAAGAAAGAAAGAAAGGAAGGAAGAAAGAAAAAGAGAAAGAAAGAAAGAAAGAAAGAAAGAAAGAAAGAAAGAAAGAAAGAAAGAAAGAAAAGAAAGAAAGAAAAAGAAAGAAAGAAAGAAAAAGAAAGAAAGAAAGAAAGAAAGAAAGAAAGAAAGA